GGATTTTTATAGTAGGCCAGTTCAGTGCCTTTAATTCACTGGGGTAAACTGGACCTAAGACGGGGGGGGAGGGGGTAGCATTCTTCAAGTTTTACTGAACACAGAACCAATGTCCCGTCCCTGTTTGTGAGACTCAGACTGGGAAAGGGGCATTAAAGACACTTAGCTGGGGATGTAGTTCAGCTGTCTAGCAACCAGAAAGCTCTGGCTTCTACCCCCAGCAGCCACAAAGTCCTAGCTTCTATTTCCAGCAGCAGTTGCTAAAATTCTTTCCCATGGGCAGATGAAAATAACTACCCTCTCTTAAGATCCCCACAACAAAGTAAGGTGCAGTTAAAGCAAAGTTCACTCCAGAGAACCAATCATGAGTTTATTAGTCTTACTTACAGAGTAATGGGTGGGTGATCTTGAAGCCATCACACTAGAAGGCCTGTGCCCAGCATAGACAGTGAGTCTTCACGGCTAAAGAAAAGGAGTCTCCTCCACTCTCATCCTTCCCTCACCTATATTCTCCAGCCTTCCCAGAGATCACGAGGTCACTATATTGGGGCAGAATTGTATACACCTGGAAGGGCTGGTTGATACTCAGGTGAGAGCCCTTTGGCCTTCCCAACCTTTCTTTTCAAGAAGGAACATTAACAGTTCACATCCCCAGCTGTGATGCTCTCCAACAAGCAGGCCCAGCCAAACTCTTAAAGACATTCGGCTGGGAAGATAGTTCTATATCATATAAACAATCATAAATTGGGCATGACAGCACTCAGGAGGCAAAGATTGGAGGATTAGACATTCAATGTCATCCTTGGCTACATAGTGAGTTCAACACTAGCCTTGACTACACGAGACTCCTGTCTTCCCCTACCCCTGGAGATGAGACAGTTTTCTTTTCTCTGTTTTCACCTGCTGGGAATAGGGGGATTCCTTCAGGCCTATTCCTAGAGCCCTCTGGTGCTTTTAGCATGGAGGGGAGGAAGGAGAACTCACTGGCCAAGCAGTTACTGATGCATGTGCCTATGATTTTGGTTGTCTTTAATTATCACTCAAGTCAGCCTTTGAGTCAGTTTTTACTGTCAGAACTCTCTGTAATGTTACAGAGGAAAATGTTGCCTTTGGAGTCAAATAAGCAACTCAGCATGCCCTCTGATAGCTTTGGGAGCATAAGCATGTTGCCTAAATGCCCATGCCTCAGTTTCTCCATTTGTTAGGATGAAAATGTGACAGCAACCTCATAGGGTTACTATAAGGTTATTAGTGCAGGCGCAACACAAAATATCTACAGGTTGTTAATACTCAATAGGAGACAATTTTCTGATAATTAAAATTATTATTAAATCATCACCATCATTCTCATTGTCAAGATAAAACAGATGGAGCCTGGAAAGGACAAATGACCTGCTTAAGGTCACACAGCTGTTGTTAGGCACTAATTGAGGCAGGCCCTCAATTAGTATAGGAAGGCAATTCCTATAGGTATGTCTTCAAAGAGTCATTTTCCTTTCAGCTAAAACTTTTGGAAGAAAACTGAGCATGCTCAGAGTTGTCACTGTCCATCATCTTTATGATGCACACTGATCATGCGCACACTGTGTTCCTATCCATCATTTTATCCTTTGCAACAAGCTCCGTGACATTGAGCTAAGTGTGCCCCCAAATATGGATGCCATCTTTCCTTCTCAAACTGAGCATGCTCAGGAGACTCCCTACCCACAAGCACCTTGAGCTTCTCTATATGGATACATATGTATATACATATATGCTCTCAATAAAACCTCCAGATTTCCTCTATTCAGGGAGGGTGTTGCTTGGGAAATGACTCCTGTGCTCTCCTTACCTGCTACAGGCAATTCTCCAGGCTCTTATATCTTAGCCCTAGGTTGTTTTGGGTTTTGTATTCTGCAAGATGCAAAACCTCAGTTCTCTCTGGTTACATTATGAGTGGCTAAGGTGAGAGCCACACACAGTCACAAGATTACTTCCTCTTAGAATTCTTTAAGGTGGTTGCAAATAAAACACTCTTCCCATGCCAGGCCTCACTTCAAATACTACTCTGGAATAAGTAGGAATTCTACTTTGGGATTCAAACCCAACCACTCACACAGAAGTAGTCAGACACATTTAGTAACACATGCTGATGCCCCAGCGCCCTCACAACTGGACCTGGAGAACCAAGAGGGTTCAGAGCCTAGAAGTACATTTCCATAAGCCTTTCCATTTCCATTTCCATTTCCAAGGCCCTTGACCATTCTTCCAAACCCTATTGTGGCTTTGAGGGGGCACCCACAAGATCAGTGGCCCTGGGTGCAGCCCAGCAGAGCACTCAAGCCCAGGTCGATCTAGGAGCTTCCAGCTTTCATGTCCTAGCATGGATAGGATTTCCAGTCTTTACTGAGGGGTAGGCAGTAGAAAAACAACATGGAGACAAAGGGGACAAGACTTGAGGGTCTTTTGCTGAAGCAACAGGAGGCTGATTTTGAAGGTTTGTTTGTTGTCTGTTCATGTAACTTTCTACTTAAGGGGGAAAGTAGACTTTCCATCTACTCTGATTTCAATAAAAAGAAAAGGATCAGGGAAGCTTTTATTCATCTTCAATGCACATCTGTGGGAACCCAGACCCAATAGGAAGAAATTGCCTTAAGTCCCAAGTGCTAGTGGCAGAATGGAAAGAAGCCATGTCTCCTGGTGTCTTTTATTTTCACCTCTCAGACTGCAGAGTCTTCAATGAGCTGATTAAGAACATGGTTGAAAAATAAAGCCAATAATGATGGGAAAATAATAACTGAAATCAAGTTTATATTTGTTGGAAGTTCACTTCTGTCAGATTCTTTTTGGTTCTTGTCTTTTTGAAAGAGTTCTTGAGCTTCCTTTCTGTTTACCCAATAAATTGTTTTGTTTTGTTTTTCTGAAAAAAGGGGGAGGGAGCAAAGCCTTGGTTAGGCTTGTCGTTCTTTGTCAAGCTGGTTTTCCACTGGGGAGTTGCTCAGAGCTCTCTGGGTCCAACATGACAAATACTGCAAGTCCAAACAGGAGATGGGAGCACTCCGACCAATCCCAACATTGCCCATCCTGAAGTTTCTAATGACTCAGATGGAAATGTCAGGGAAGAAAAAAGACTTGAGTATAAGTACCCTGGGAGCCTGCCGAACCTGGCCTTAACTACTTACTGTGTCCACTTAAATAAGTCACGTGGCCTCATAGAGTCTCAATACCATCAGCTGTTAAAAATACAGGTATGGGGGATGGTTTAGTTACAGCAGTTCTCCATCTTCCTAATGCTGTCACCCTTTAATACCGTTTCCTCATGCTGTGGTGACCCTAAACCATGTAATTATTTCATTGCTACTTCATAGCTGCTATGAATTGTAATGTAAATATCTGGCATGCAACACCCATGGTGCTTGAGACCCATAGGTTGAAATCATTGGTTTAGTAGGTAGAGGCAGTTAGTGTCAAGCATGATGCCCTGAGTTCAATCCCTGGAGCCCATATTATGCAAGGAGAGAACAAACTCCTGCACTCTAGCTAATGCACCTAAACTCTAATGGTAACTTTTTTAAAAGTCATATACCATGAACTCAATAGGTAAAAGGGCCAGCCAAAGAAACCCGCTTTGGCCCTGACACGTGAGCCAACTCTGCCCCTGACCAACTGAAACACAAAACCAACCAATCCTTGAGCACCTTGACTCTGAACTCAGAGCCAGTTATACAAACACACCCAGGATCTAAAACCTGCACCAGTAAAAGGAAACACTTTATCCCTGAACCCAGAACCTTGAACCTAGAACCAAAGAAAAAAACACCCTGGCTTTGAAACCAGTGCCAAAGAAACACACTTTGTCCCTAGAATCATAGCCAGTGAAAGAAATAGACTCTGGACCTAAAATTAGAGCCAAAAAGCTAAAAAAGGACCAGTGAAAGAAACAAGGTTTGCCCTGAAATCAGAGCCATCTCTGCCCCTGGCCCCCAAAACTAACCAATCCCTGAACAGGAAAACTAACCAATCCCTGAGCAGAAAACCTCTCCCTGGGAAAACTCCACCCCCAAGAAACCCTATATAAGCCTGCCTGTCTCTTCAGCTGTTGGCTGTCTTTTCCCACCCTGGCAGGGGGAAACACTCCTGGACTCCTCTTTCCCAACTAAATCTCTTTCTCAAAGGAGTCTTGGGTGACGATCTTCATTCTCTAGAGCAGAATAGAAGAACTTGCTGTCGCAGAGAAAAGTAACAACTTTTAGCGGGAGCCACATTTCTGCAGGGGCTTCCCCTTTAGCAGACTGAACATCTTGGGTTTTGCTAGGATGTTTCCTTAGGGGAACAGAGCAGAGCTCAGCTGTAACGGCCTGCTCCAGGAGAGGAGCAGGGTTGCTATATTCTGTGGGGAGACCATCACCCACCACACCCCAGCTTCAGGTAGCCTGGCTTCCAAATCAAGAAACCTTTGCAGCCCCAGAGCTGTAACACTCCCACTTGTTTATATTTGGTACGGAAACCTGGCACTCCCACTTGCTCACACTCACCATGAAGTTTGCATGCACTGATGTTACCTTAATTTGAGACTACATAAGATTAGAATGATACACAGAAGAAGCCAGTAACATACTAGTCATGCAGCAATAACACACACTAGTGGCTACAACGTACTGGTTTCCCCATAAGACCTGATAATCTTACAATCTTAAGTGTATCAGATTCTCCGCACACCCATACCAAGGCCAAGCAATGCCAAACTTCCACTTGCAGGCCTTGGAGTGAGCCCTGCCCTGGACAGTGATATCAAAGCGTGCCTTCCACCGGTAGACAGATGGTGCCAGAAAAATAGAGTGGTCAGGCTGAGAGGAGTGACCGACAAACATGTTCTAGAACCGGTCTGCTGGGTTTCATCACAGAGTCACTGTGTCACAGCAGAAAAGTTACTTAACTTCCTGAGCCTCGGTTTTCTTGTTTCTTAAACTGGCACTAATAGCAGTGCCCAGTGCATAAGCCTGTAACAGTTAAATGGCATAATGGAAGTAAAAACTTAACACACTGACTCATCCTTAGAAAATGGCCCCAAAGTATTAACTCATGATTTACCCTCAGATCAGCCCTTGTATCCAAAATGAAAGAATAGAGGGCAGCAAAAGTGCCTGGGGTGGCTTTCAAGTTTAGGATAGAAGTGAAGATTATATTACCTATGTGATGCTGATCATGACCTTGTCTTACTCTCTGCCTCAGTTTCTCTATTTGCAAAATGAGGTTTGATTTGGTGAGCACTCCCAGGCACCTAAATAAGGTTTGATGAAAAGATATAGGCTCCCCCACTATGCTTTCTATGTAGGTCCTACCTCCCCAGCCATCCAGAGAAAAGAACCACGTAGGGGCTGGGAAAGACGGCTGTAGCCTCGTCAAACCAGTGCCTTAATTAAGAGAACTATTGTAAGAGAGAAAAATATCCCAGCCGTATCCATCACTGTGTAACCTGGGAAAGTCACTTTACCTTTCAGAACCTCAGTTTCTTCTAAATGGAGTTTCAAAGGGTACTCACCTTGTCATAGTCACCTAAGCTAGTATCAGTTCACAGAAACAGTGTTGTTTTGTTAATCATTAATGGTTGCCAGTTGCATTGCAGGCAGACATAGCCCTTCTTATAGCAGGACTGCACACATATGTGTCCATTCCAGGTAGTATTTCCAATGACAATAAAGTTCTTTATGAAAACAGCAGCCATGCCATAGACACACCTGGAAAATTATAGGCCAGCCTCTGCATAGCAATAGTCTTCATTCCCATGGTTCCTAATCAGCCTGAAGGAGGTGACAGCAGCCCTTGCCAAGGAGACCAGTTTACAGAGCTGGGAAGCACTGAAAACTACTTCTTACCCAAGATAGACTGTAAAAAGAGGGGACCTTCCCATATCTCATATAGTGTTACTGAACCTAGAGTTTTAGGGTACTATGCATTGGACTGAAGAATACATTTAAGTGATGTGTCCAAGATAGACTTCCATTTCCTTACCTGGAAAATGGAGTTAATCACAGAACTCTTTTTTCAAGGTCATTGCAAAGATTGTACACACATGGCATGTAGCAAGCATACAAATAGCATTAACTGTATTCTTGTCTCCATTCCTCCTGGGGTGTTATTTGACCACATGACTGGAAACACCCCAACAAAGGACATTTAAGAATGTCCTTTCACTGTGACATGTGTGAAGTAGTAGAGATGGTCTAGGGTGCCAATCTAGAAATCTGACTTGATCCCTGGTTCTGGATCTCTGTGACCTACCACTGATCACTTTCAGTCTATAATTCAGAGTGTTTTCATCTATAACAGCCCTGTCCAATAGAAACAAAATATGCCACCAAATCAATTCTAAACAGTTGTAGATGTCACTTTTTATAAAATATCAAAAAATAAGGTAATAGGAAAATGAATTGAACTTATTATTCTCATTTCAGTGTATCCCCCATGTTATCGTTTCATTTGTTCTTTGAAATCTTGGTGATTCTTAATTACAAGGTGATTTTGGCAGTTTATCTGGGGATGTTTGGGGTTATCAAAACCAGGGGCAGGAGGTGGCAACTTGGAGGATGTTCTTGGTAACCTGACAGTCAAGGCCAGATCTTGCTAAACAACTTATACCGCACAGGAAAGACCCCTACTTTAGAGGATTGTCTGGTCCAAACACTAAACAGAAGCTGGTTGATACTTGTAACAAATCCCTGTTTGGACTGGCTGCTTGTCAAGGGCTCACTAGGCACACATGGCCTGTGGCTACCACATCTGTCTGTGCAGGTCTTTAGTGTCAACACTTGGGCTTGAGCTTTAAAAAGTCAAGGATTTAGAAGATGTAGTTTTAACAAATTGGTTTCCTGCCCATCCTTAAATAGCTGGCCAAAAGATTTATGGCTGGTTCACCATGGCTGCCTAAGAACAGAACCCATCTGTCACTGGCTGGGTAGAACCTTTCAAAGCACCCACCCACCCCAGGGAGACCAAGCCTGGGTCAAACAGTGAGCCCTGTTGTTCTTGACGGGGGAGACAATGCTGCAGGCCCTGCTACCTGCCTGACAGAGCCATTGTGGCTAGAGCAGAAAAGGGCTTTGTCAGGATGGCAGCCGAGGAGCCCGCAGTTCAATAGGGCCCTTTATGTGTGTCCCGATAAGATGCCCTGATGCCAGCCTTGAGAGGCCCTGCCCCCTCCTGGAGCAGATGGGAAGCCTGAGGCCCTGAGAGGGTATGGAAGGCCTGCTATAGATCTTAGTCCTGTCTCCCTTGAAGTGCAGCTTACAAGACAAACTTTACCTATTACTGGGAAACCCAGTACCAGCTCAGGACTCAGTATTCCCAACCACCCCAGGCAAAAGAACATCTAGCCAGGACCCTCAAACATAATAGCTACTCAGATTATAAATCCATATAAAAATAAATTTATTAAAGAATACATATGTCTCTCTCTCTTCACATCTAGGTACAGTTATGGCAAGAATAACTTACATATACTCTGTTGTGCTTTTACAAGGTTACTAAGAAAAGCCACCAGATCTTGTCTTCTTAGCATAACATTTCCCCAACACACACACACCCCAATGTGGAGTGAGAATATTAATTAGTTTTATTGTGGTAATCTTCACAATGTATGCACATATCATATCATCACACTGCATTCCTTAAATACATTCAATTTGGGGCTGAGGAGCTGTCTGGGTGGGTAAAGTTTGCTAGTCAAGCATGAGCACTTGAGTGTGTATCCTCAGCACCCACATACAAATGCCATGTGTGGCCTTGCTTGTCTGTAAGCCTGGCACTGGTGGGAGGAGGGAAGAGCAGAGATGGGCAGATTCCTGGGAGCCTACTAGCTAGTCAGTTCAAGAGAAACAGCCAGCTCCAGGTTCAGGGAGCGACTGGGGCAATAAAACAAAAACAAAAACAAAAACAAAAAAACAAGTAAGGCAGGTTAGGGGCTGATTGAAGAAGACACCCCAGGCTGATGTCTAGCCTCCTGAATGAGGGAGAGCATCCACACACAAATGTACACACACTTATGCTCATGTACACACACATGAAGTTTTCATTTGTCAGTAATGCCTCAAAACAACTGGAAGAAATTTCAAAGTCTAGCCAGAGGGAAACCATGTGTGCATGCTCGCCTCTGTCCTTAGAACACAAGTGATTGAGTCCAAACATGAGGAGGGTTTGGGGCTGTGCCTTGGCCAGTGTTCCAGCGCATTTGTACTTGGACTGCAGAAATGCTGAAGTACAAGAAAAGAGACATTCTCATGTCAGTTCCTCCCTCTGGGGTAGCACGATCAGATCAATTGATAGTTTTCCACCTGAGCCAGTTATTCCAGTTTCTTGCTCACTGTTCTGATTCACATTTTATCTTAAAGATGCTCAATTCCTTTGGACTGTGGTTTCACACACATTCAATGGGAGGCAGCACACAGGACTCATGGCCTTCCATGTGCTGCTGTTCTTTCTGCCGTACCTGAGACTGTCCTTTCTCCTCCAACCTCTGCCTGTCCACTCCAACTCTCTCCCAATGGCAATTCACATACAGAGAAAGGAGAAACACAAAGTTGAGTTACTGAACCATAAGGGGACTGATCCTTGTGGAAAGCAAGTGACTAACCCAAAACATTAGAGGAAGCCAGGTGCTGGGAGAAACCACCCCTCAGTGCCCAGATACAAAGCCATAAGCAAGATAGGTGGGGGAGGGGTGCCTATAAGGACCAGGCTTGAGAGCCCAAGTAGGCTCTGTCCTCATCTCACACCTCACATGGACTAGAAAGGGAGCCTACCTCATCAGAAACTTGATGAGGTAAAGCCTGTAGACACTGTGTTCAGAGATGACCCCACAACCAGACCTATTGTCCCACTCATGTGTAGATGTCCGTTCCCAGATGAGTTCCAGGACAAGTTACCTGTTCACCATGTCTTGGTGTGCTCTCCGTAGATAATAAAAGTATGTACCCCATATGGTCATCATGGGTATCAAAAGACTTAGAACTCTGCCTTTTGGCAAGCAGTTCACAGTGTCTTCATGGTTCAGGTCAGGGTTTCACTGTGACCCACAGAGTCAGTATCATTTGTGATTTTGTCTTTATAATTATCACCACCATCATCTGCAGGGCTGGTGAGATGGTTCAGTGAGTAAAAGCACAAGCCTGATATCATGAGCTGGATCCCTAGTGACATGGTAGAAAGAGAGAAAGATCTCTCAAGAGTTGTCTGTCTTCTGACTTTCCCATGAGTATCAGGGTATGTGCACTCACACATGCACACACACATGCTTAAATAAGTGTAAGAAAGCTGCATGTATTTAAGGTATACAAATGTGATGATTTTATATGTACATATTTTATGAAATGAGTACCATAAACAAGCTAATATACACATGCATTCCATATATATGTATTTGTACACACATATACTTTTGTGTACATATCAATATACTCCATCATTCTTACATATATACATTCAATCACAACTTTTATTATATAAACATGTATATTTATGTAATCTGATTGTATACTATAAAATTTATAAGTAGTGATTTTTGGAAGGCATCTGCTTCTAAATGATTGGTCTTAATTAGTTTCTCCCAGAACTATATAAGAAAAGAATAGCCTGATTCATTCAGACGGCCAATCACTTCGTTTCTCTGAACCATTCATCCTATCATTCCCTGGCCGTCCATTCACGAGACACAAATATGTATTGAACATTTAAGGGCACCTACTCTGCTCCTGTCACCCACAGTGCCCAGCACTGAGCAGACCTGTAAGTTATGTGATGAGGGTAAAGGAAAGAAGGGAGGAACCAGGTTCTCAGACCTTTCCTTGACAC